CTGTTTGAGGTGCAGTGACGTTTAAGGGCCCGGAGATCACGAGCATCCAGTAGAGTTTTACGACCTTGACCCTTACGCACAGCGATTGTTCCAGATTCTCTGAATCTTTTGATGATGTTATGCATGGTTGATGATGATAACTTAAAAGTCTTTGCTATTTTACGCTGGGTAACACCATTCTGGTATTGCTGCACTATCTTTCTACGCAACAATGGTGGAATTGGTGATCCTCTTACCATCTTGGCTTCTGAGAGACACTGACACTCTGAGAAGCTCTTTTTATACCCAATCATGTTGTCAATTGACCTAATTAGTGTTAATTGGTCTTCCAGCTGTTCGTTATATGCTCAATTTCCTTTTTCCAGCCACTTATTGCTACTTGTCCCAACTTTTTTGGGATTTGTTGACACTGTAAAATTTTGAATCAACATATTTTTCCTTTTTAAAATGTTACATTTACTCAGATTAAACGTTTGATCTGTCATCTATGTTATATTACGAATAAAATATTGACATTTGCCGTCTTCACATCATTGCATTCAGTTTTTATTCACAATTTGTTTAGTGTCCCAACTTTTTTGGAATCCGGTTTGTATTTATTTTCTTCCCACTTATTGGATTCAGCCAAATCTTTTGAGATATTTTTACAGACTACCTTTAACTATTGACTTCATGGCTTTTTGGCTTCTAGGCTGGAGGTCAAACACCAAAGGTCAAGCCAAAGGTTCAAGAAGAGGGCGATCAGAGGGACACAATAATCAACATGATCTCTATGGCCTCATCAGAGAGTACTGTGGCAGGTCTTATGAGCCTCTCAGCTCCACCATCTACCTCCTCTTCCTCGTCCATGGGTGACAAGGATAGGGGAGCGCCTGGTGGTGCTCAGACGTGGAGCGGAAAAGGCCAGGCTGGAACTGAGCAGCAACAGCAGCAGCCCAATAATGAGGTCCACACCCCAGCCCCAGCCAAAGTATCACTGAGTGAGTATCGTGTGAAGAATGCTGATGTCCTGGCAGCGCAGAAGAGGAAGCTTGAGAACATGGAGGCCAGCGTGAAAAGAGAATATGCTAATGCAGCCCAGGCTCTCATTGGCCAGCAGCAGCGGAAGGAGAAGCAGCAGCATCATCACCAGCCGTCCAGCTCCTCTTCCACCGCTGACATTAACCCCTCACCCATTATTCTTAAAATTCCCTTAGAAAAGGAGAGGTACGACCGGGCTCTGAAACTGCGTTTCCCAGCAGCTGGGGGTGGCAGCAGTAGCGGGCACGGTGACGCTGCCCGGGGTCAGGACTCAGACATTAAAGTGAGAATACGAGTGCCTGAAAAGCAAAAGGGAATTTCAGGAGAGGAGGGAAAGAGCAGAGACAAACACAGGGACAGGGCCAACCATCACCACCACCATCGTCACCATCACCACCATTCCTCCTCCACTGGTGCTTCTCTTTCCTCCTCTTCACACAAACATTCATCTAGTTCCAGTGGGGTGCCAGGAAGCAGCAGAAAAGCCCCGAGCGAGTCCTCTAGATCGGGCTCTTCATCCTCCTCCTCGTCCCGAAAGAGGACACACACCCAAGATCCCATAGCAGGCTCCCACCCAGCTCCTAAAGTCAGCAAGGCCTCTAGAAATCCCTACCAGTTACCGTCCCTGTCTTCCTCCTCTGGACAAAATGTGGGTCACGGTCCTGACCTTCTGCCTTCTCTGGGCCTTCCCCACAACCAAGGAACCTTTTCACACTCTAAAAGTGACAAGACAGACACTAACGGGCACGGCTCGGCAGGGGGAGGCCAGTCCAACGAGTACCAGGATACTTTTGAAATGCTGAACTCGTTACTGAGCGCACAGGGAGTCCAGCCGTCCCAGCCGTCCATGTTTGAGTACAGGTCTCAGTACGGGGACTACCGGTATGCTGGTGGCTCCAGAGGGAACAACTCCAGACCCCCACCTCTACCTTCAGAACCACCTCCCCCTCTTCCACCGTTACCCAAATAATCTGGTGGTCAGGACCCATTATTATGTGCTGTACTTGAAATTTCAAACACCCATTTTGTTACATAACACTTTGTACAATATTCCTTTTTTATTTTTATGAATATACTCGCCTAACACTTTGGTAGGTGAAGGTGGAGAAATGTACTGGAATAGATGTGGGTTTTTTTTTTTTTACAGTTTACTTGTGAGGCAATAATGAGGTTTGTAGACCTAAAATTTGAGACACAAAAGGCTTCAAGAAAAATCTAGATGTTTTTCTTCTCAATTCCAATGAAATGTGATGGTGGGGATTCATTCAGAATGAAATTATGTTGACTTAACAGATCTGAACTGCCATCCGGTACCTTTATAGGTTTCTGAACTGTTTTTGTAATGATTTTATAGTATGTTATTTATTGAGTGGTTTTAAAATAACCTAGTCTACCTTTTGAAGGTTTCCTTGTGTTCTGTAGGCAGAGGGAAATGTTTTCATCAAGACTGTACAGGCTAGTTTGACAGTGCACGTCTCCAAAGCCATCTTTTTGTTACTTTGTTTAAAAGAAGAAGAAAAAGTTTTATTCACTGCATTATTTGGTTAACCTGTACAAAGATTGTATTTTAAAAGTTAAAAGCAAAAATATTTTTTACCTTTTTGTTAATGACAATTACAAAAAAAGGCAATTTAAGTAAGCAAGCTTGTATGTTTCTCTTTGGACTCTGAGTGTTGCAGTCATTGTTTTAAATGGTTGTAAAATATCATATTCTGTTCTTTGGCAAATACACTAGCTTCATTCATCAGATCCATGTTCAAAAATCTCAACATATCAACCCCAAGTGGTCATTATGAAGGACTTGTGTTCAAAAAGAAAACCTTTGTCTTTAGGAACAAAATGAGCGTTCTGTGATGTCACCAGGTGATCGAGCAAATGGAACTGAACTGAATTTATGAACGACTTGATCTCTTGCAGTGAGTGCTCCTTGTGAGCCAAACAAACCTGTGTCGTGGGTTTTGGTCACCTGTTACGTCTCAGTATGCAAAGGAATAACACAGTATCATGAATGAGACATGGAGTTTTAGGATGTTTAAATTTCTCATATATAATCACAGTATAGTTTCATATTAAAAAAGTGTTGGATTTTAATCTTCAGATTGTTTATAATTCATGGTTTGACCATCAGTTCTTGCAAAAACCTTTCCATTTTTGTATGATCAAGCAAAATCCTAGATGGCATGCAAGCTATCAGTAGATCATCTTGAGCATGATATATTTGAGTAAAATCGCTGAAGAGGTTGTATGTCGGCAAGACAATTGGGTATCACCTGTACATTTCAGTCATTTAATTTTTATATGGGTTTGATTGTATAATCACTGCTCTTAATCTACCATTCTTTCATTTTATTATTTTGAACCTAAAATGGTTGTAAGCAATTTACAGCAATGCAGTACAAGAAATCAGCCATACAATTGCATCTTTTACTCCCGTGATAAATGGAACATGTGCTGCAAAAGAAAGGTTTGCTCAACAGTTTAGTTGTAGCTGTTCAGTTTTTGGTTGTAACAGGGAAATGGTTGAATGCACTGAATATTTATCTTTGTAGGTTTGCCTACAATGTCAAAGTGTTAACATGTATACTGGTTAAACCTTTAGAGTAGTTTTGAAATATTGTCTATTTCCAAAACACAAGATGACTGGGCAGAAAAAAATCGAAGTATTAATGTTCTTTGGGAAGATTATGAAAAATCATTTTTATAATAGGACCATATATAAGAAACAACAAAAGACACTCATGCAACCTAACAATGCAAAAATCACATTTACAATAGCTAAAGTTTCACGTTTCTTCTTGTCTTGGTGTTTTTATTGACACTCAGGTCTGTTTTATTTTTCATTTGTTCTATGTGAACACTGTTCATTTTTATAATGTGGTTGCCTAAATCTGAAAGTCAATAAATATTTTAAGTAAATTGCTTTGTGGGTTTATTATTTTAACCGCTGCTGTTTGGTGAGCTCGTGTGTCGCTCCGCTTTGAGTTTGAATGGCAGCTCAAAAGTCCAATAAGCTGCCAGTACTCTACTGCTTCCGCCAATGGGAGCACTGTACGGGCGTGGTCAGTGTGGAATGGGCGGGGTCAGTAGGCAACGCTGCGGGACTGGCAGCGTTGATGTAAAGCGTTCCAGTCTGCGTTTGTTGAGACCGTGGACGAAGCGGTAAGCAAGTTTACATAATTACTGTGAATATTTCTGCATTGTAGTTTAAAAGTACTTAGTTAATGCAAGGTAGGTGCTTGTCTATCGCTACTGGTCGTTATAATCTTTCTTTTCCTCTGAATAATTAAACTTAGCGCTTAGCTAATGTTTCAACAGCCAAACAAAGATGGCGACTCCAACCGGAGGAGTCGAAGTGACGCATGAAGAGAGGCGGGTTAAGGCTTGTAGCGCGTGGTTGGATTTAATCAAGACGTGAGCTCGCATACATTAGATTTATTCTGTTATTAATGTGGTACATCACTTTTGAGCTTGGTTTGTGCGCACATTATCTGAAAGTGTGGTTGTAATATTTGAAGTATCGAACTTACATGACCTAATGTTGGACGACTACGCAGTAAACTGTTGGAAATACGAGACTTAAAATTCTAGCTACACCAGTGCTGCGCAATTAGTTTCGGTTACGCCCCCCAGGAAGAAGTAAACACCCCCCCCCCCCCCGCCTCTGCATAACGCTGTACCCTTATTAACATTAAATAAATAAATAAATATAGATCAACTTACAACAAAGATTATTAACATTGTTTTATAGTCTGTAACAGAACAGGCTTAAAGTGCATCAATTTGCCTGAAATTAAAAAAATATATATCCTTTAACAACAAAAAAGGTTGAATCATGTCATCTGGACTTCGTTTTTTTGTTAAAAAGAAACGTTTCGCCCCTCATCCAAGAGGCTTCGTCAGTCTGAGGCCTAGCCATCTGGTATTACCCAGAAGCCACCCTGACTCTTGTGTTTCAAGCCTGCCTCAGATACCCCTGAAGTCTGGCCTTTTCACTAATGGTTTCAAAAAGGCTTGAAACACAAGAGTCAGGATGGCTTCTGGGTAATACCAGATGGCTAGGCCTCAGACTGACGAAGCCTCTTGGATGAGGGGCGAAACGTTTCTTTTTAACAAAAAAACGAAGTCCAGATGACATGATTCAACCTTTTTTGTTGTTATATACCTGGATGACTGAGAAAACAAACTTTGTATATATCCTTTAGTTAAACTGTAAACATTTTTGACCATTTGATACTGAACAATCAAATTAAATACAATCAATAAATAATAATAAATTCAAATTGATCAGCAACATTTTAACTCAGGAGTGTTAAATACAACACTTTGACCTACAAAACAAAAATGAATAAAACAATTTGTGCTAATTTTTTTTTTTTTATCAAAATGAGGAAGTCATCTGTCACTAAAAGAGAAACAATGTCATCTTTCTCGAAATTCCCTGGCGGCTGCCCTAAACTAGCTGCAGGTGCCACAGCAGCGAGGCAGCTGCCAGTGAAGGTGTCAGTACATCATAAACTAG